GTGCAATGCTGATGTGTTTCCCCTTACATTGCTCTAAGTGCAAAAGGGTGCAATGTTTGAGAATTGTACAGAATTGTTCTTACAGAAAAAAATCAGAAGTCTCACAAAAGGTCAGTCCCACTGCAGGACCCGATATAATGAAAAATGGCAAAAAATATTCCGACCCTACCCATGTGTGTGACCTCTATAAGAGGTCTGTGAGCTGGGGTTCTGTACACCCAACTCGACTCTTGAGAATATACTTTCTTACACATAGCATGATAATGGAATTAGTATCGTCAACTCAAGTATAAAACTTTAAATTTATAGGTAAGATGGTTCAATATCGTGCCAAAAAATGATATAGCGGTGTTAAGTTTGTTACTGTCTATTGAAAGGAATGTCAAAATTTTCACCTTACCGGACTCGGAAACATTACCGTGAGCTTTAGCTTACCTTCAAACAGAACGTTTGTGTGTTGCACATTGCCTAACTTGCCTACTATTCCTAGAATGTTTTCCATTGACTACGGGACAAGTTAGATATATTGAAACTATGCCCAAGGAAAAAATAAATATAAAAAATAAAATAAAATAAAATATGAAAGAGAAAGCATTAGAACCCCTTGTAGAATATGACAGCAGAATTTATGCCAAGATTAGTGCTAATCTAAATATTGATATTAACACAAGCGTTTAATATAAAAATTTCTAGGTAAAAGTCAATATGGGAGTTGATTATGTTTTTTGTTGCTTTGACTTTCTTGACACTTAATTGAGACTAAATTTTAAGCTTTATCATTTTGCAATACTTTTGAGTAGTCAAAAAATATTTTTTATATTAAAAAGTTGTTTTTGAACATATTTAAATAATTTTCTGAAAATATTTTATCTGATTAAAAGAGTTTTTAGAAATGATTGATCTAAAGTAACTTTCTTAAAAAACTCTTCCAAAATCAACATAAAACAAATGAAAGCCATATAAAACGGACCTAAATTTCCAATGAGACTAAGAGTAGTAATTATTGAAAGAGATGTTATTTTTTTAATTAAATGACAAGAAGGTGTTTTTTTTCCCTATTTAATTAATTTACAATAATTATTTACTTCGAGCATTCAACTTTACCAACCTTAGGTTACAACCTTAGATTTACATCTAGAAAAAACATGGAGTTCTACTTTGAAGATATAAATATAAATATAAATATAGAAAATTATTTATCCATGCCTAAGATTTCACAGCATTCAATTTTTATTACCAATTGTTACTTTTAAGTATCCATGAAAGAATTAAGCTAAAGTGACCGAATTGGTAGACATAACAGCTAATCGACCTTCATATTTTACGCTTGTGTCCCGCATGAATTAAAAGATGTAGACCCTCATGTGTGTGTTCAGTCATCTCCTATGTCAACCTTTATGTTAGTGTAGCAAAACCCATCCGTGAAAAGCATGATCTTGTCCTTTTTTTTAATTTTTGCCAAGGTTAAAATTTGAAGTCACATCCAAACCATATTCCTATAATATCTTATGTTATGTTTCCCAAGCATTAGTCACATCTTAGCTAACTAAACAAATCAACTCAAACTCACAATCCACGTCACTGTCCTACCTGCCTAGTTGAGATCATTAGAGATAGATAGTCGAAGTGATGCCCACTTCAACCGATGTGCCCTGTAAAGATTGAGCCTCCATAATCTAGACGATGTGATACCCTATGCAGTACAAATTCGAAACAAGTAGCCTCTCAATGTGAGAAAGCATTTCCTTGTTTAGCATCTTCCAAGAGATCTTTCATACAATTTTTTTTTAAATAATTGATTCATATGACATCTCTATAACAGACGTATTTCAATTGACTTGTCAATCAACTTTTCAGATGTTCAGCCTGGCTATTGGCTACTTTTCATAATCATTTAACGCCCTCAAATCTAGAACTGTAGAAGTGACACCTAGGAGGAGGTGTCTCGACCGTTAAAATGAGGCTATGTGTCATTTCATCCAATGATAACCATTTCACATTTTTTACTATAGAAGCTCACAATTAGTTTCATTTGAAGATAATGCAATTTTACACTCTCAATAGTATTATTGTTCACTCACATTATTCTCTACCACCTAATGCCCGTAAACATACTTGTGGCTCACGCCTTTTGTTCAGTCGATGCCCAAATATATTATTTGACTAATTTGATTGTCGAAGTACTTGCGATCCCCTCTCACAGCCCAAGAAACACATCTAAGAGTTTGTCCAAGTGTACAAAAGCTTTACACATGAATGTGATTAGAATCGGGATCTATTGGCTAAATCATCGACCAAAAACCTAAGTCAACAATGTACCTAATACTTTACCTTCGTAGTTGAACCAATTAATTTTTTTATGCCTTCCCATAATATCCTCGATCACCACGTAAATCAAATTGGTTTTTCTTAATGCACATGGAAACATAGAACAAAACATTAAAGTAAAGGGATTTTCATTTATTTGAGAATTGTCAAGCTAAACTACATTTTACAGACCATCGATGTGGAAAACGGAGGAAATTGATAACATAAGAATAGAAAAGATGAAACCCCCAACTCCCACCCCTCAACACACACGCACAAGAGAGAGAGAGAGAGAGAGAGAGAGAGAGAGAGAGAGAGAGAGAGAGAGAGAGAGAGAGAGAATGGGAAGAAGATAATTTTATTATTTTCAATCCAATTTGAGAAAATACAATTTTTAGAAGCTCATGGGGCTGTCTGGATCATTTAGAGCTGCAATGGCACCTTCAATCTTCAGTCTCAAAAGTTCTTTCTCCTCTTCATCTACCTGAATTATTAGTTAAATATTTCATTAATTAGGCACGAAAAAAATTTAAAGTTGACAGCAAAAGAAAAGAAAATATACAAAAATAAAAAAGGCATCAATTCACATTAGGCAAGTATTAGTGACCAATGTATCGTGTATGTGTTTCGTTTTCTTGAGAAAAATAATGAACATGCTCCTTTCTTATACGTTATGTCTTCATTAAAATCTAGGGTAATTCACTTATCTCAGATCTAATGAATATAAAAACAAGAAAAAAAAATAAAATTTAGCCCATATTTGTCATCCTTTAAAAAATTTAAATTGTTTATTATAGGATCATTCTCCACCATACGTTCACCCAATGAAATATTTTACTCTTAAATCAATAGATTTTTCTTACTTTTTAACCATACGTTTTCCAAAAAATATTATTTAATAACTCATTATTCCCAAATAAATTCTATCAAACATACCCTTTAATATAAAGTAGTTCACAAAGTTCCAGCTTGTGGACCCACAATTAAGCAAAAATTGAACAATGCCCTCGATTATATATATTTTTCTTGTCGCGGATTTATTGGGGCAACCTTATGAAATTTTAATAATATTGTTTTTTCAAAAGAATCCTTATTTTCTTCAAAAGTCACCATTTGTAATCTTTAATGTTGCTTTGGTTAGCCCCAGTCTTCTATCCTATCTCGAAAGTCATTACTACTATATTGACACCAAAAACAAGGTTGAACTAATGCTTTATTTTTGTCATAGTTGATCATGATTCGTAACCAAAAAAATAAACAATAAAAAAATCCCATAATTAAATATATTTTATTTGTAAATATTATATATTATTTTGAATAGGTCCAGCTGTTTCTCGATTAATTTAAATATACTTACCTACACGGTGTCCAAGAAAATGGGGAAATTTGTTGGGCAGTCCCACAGATCCAATTTGAGCATTGATTATATATTTCTTAAATTAAACAATTATTCAGTATTTTAAAATTCCATTATTTAATTATAGAGTTGTTGAATTGTTTTAATAATGTATTCAACTTGAATTATGATAGTATTTCTTGTCTGATTCGCATGTACAAGATCATACAATTTACTATATTGGTGGTTACAATACGTGTGAGTTACGCATGTTTACATATTCAACCAGAAAAGAGAATATCACCTTCTTCACCCTTGTAAAAGATTCGACAAATAACATAGTAGTTATGCCCATGATTACGATACATTCAAATTGACACGTGTGAATGCACTAGATTAGAGAGCAAATCATCTCACTCGCACAAGCAAAATAAGATTAGTTAGATAGTACGGTAAATATGATGTAATATGCAAATTCATGCGTATAACATAGTAGACTAGAGAGAGGATTCAACTGCGTCACACATACAAAATAGAATTTGGTAGATTGCATAGTCAATAAGTAGGATTTACCTTACTCGTAGGTATAAGATAAGAACTTGAAGATAGTACTGTTATTAAGATTATAATTCGAGTGGATTGACACGTAATAGACTGGAGAGAGAATATTACCTCAACAAATACAGTCTTCAAAAGGCTCTGAGAGAAAGCAGTGATGTTGGCAGTAATGATTTTGAGCTTCAAAGATTCAAAAATCTCACATAGCTTTACAATTGTGTATGTTCTTTTACTGCAAGTGAGGCTAATCACTGCTGTCTTCTCCCCCATGTGGGATACCCTCAACTGCCAATCATTTAATCAATTTTACTAAAAATATATATAAATAAATAAATCAATTGATAATTTTGATTAAAGATTAACATATTTGTTCAATAAGAAAGACGGCAAACTAAAATATTGTCGATCGTAGAAAACTAAGAAAAGAAAAGTGAATATGAATATCCCACCTCAAGAACTTCAATGGGATATGATCTTGATGTATTAGAATCATTGCCATGATCCAATCTTGTTCTCTTTGGATTTGAACAATAAGTAGTAGCCTCTTGATCAAAATCAAAAATTATACTATTTCTTGATGCACCAGATTCCAGCTCCGATATTTCTAATTGAATTCTCTTCTTTTCTTCCTCCAACTTTTCGATATACTGAATAGCATCTTTGATTATTGATGCTTTATCCATCTAAATTCAAATCAACAATTCACCAAAAATAGAAAAAATAAAGAATAAATTAAGCCCTTCAATAATGATATAACTTATTGCAATTTAGGTGGATTGGGGTGGGTGTGCAATAATTGAACATGAATTATAGTATTTTTATTAGTGGGTCACCTTTGTAATATTGGGGACCACTGCTCTCAATGCATATAGCCTTTCATTGAGCTTTTTTCTCCTATTCCTTTCTGAAACAATGTTCTTCGATGTCATTGATGAACTTGTTCCATCAGGAGAGCTCGAATCATAGTACGCAGATAATGTTTCATCGATAAAACTGTGTTGATATAGTCGATTACGTTAGTTTCTAATTATAATTAACATAAACCTGAATATGAACGAGGAAAATGCTTCATTGAAATAATAGTATCAATTACGACTATGATCTAATTAAACACAAATACGGATATGAACACAGACACGAACTGAAACGTGAAAATGAGAATTAAACCAAAAAAAAAAAAAAAAAAAAAAAAAAAAACCCCAACCCCCCAA